GCTGTGGAATTAGTTTCCACAGTAATGTCAACTGAATCCAAGTCCATTGACTTTGAAGGTATGGTAAAAGGTTCTTTTTCTCTTCTTGAGGGCTTGTAGGAATTTGAAGTTTGCATTATAATTGAGAGCTTTTTATTTGATACTTTTTTAATAATACAGTAGATTCTGTTAAACTGGGCATGTTTTATACTTAAATGAGACTGTTGCATGCACAGGATTATGATGTCTTTTTGCATTTTAGTGGTTTCACAAAACCCCATAATAATAGCATCAATTTAAGCAAACTGATTTGTTACTGTTTCTTCCATTTGAATTAAACCAGAAATAAAACCAGTAGCCCATTAGAACAATTCATCCTTTTAAGTCTACCTATATTGCTAAAGAAGGAGGTCCAGGAGAGAGTGGAAGCAATGGCTCATTGACCATCCACGCTTATCAGTTAGTATGCTCCTTGGTATGATGTTGGTTCTTGTGTACATGTGAGGTTGGTTGGTTTGATTCTAGTGCAGGATGAAGGAAACAGCATGCAGCTTGTGTTGCAACCCACCAGAGAAGTACATTTGCATTGTGAAACTACATGTATGGGTTATGAACTTTTGGGTGTCACTTTAGGTCAAGAGAGGGTGTGTGAAGGGTATCCCTTTAGAGCCCATGGGAGTAGTGCTGGAGAACTTCACAGGCCCGAGAAAGGACAAGCCTGGTGTGGAGTTAGTGTCTGCTGAATGTCCTCCCTGTCCCTGAAAGTGTTTTTGGAGAGGAGCAGCAGAGATGTAAGATTTTAAAAGGTCAGTGAAGTTCCTTATGTGTCTGATCAACAGAGTGGAGCTGGTAGGTGGTGCTAATGGTGCTCCCCAGCACTGTTTTAGTTAGATTTATCCTGTGAGGGTCAGGGCTATTAAAGTTCTTGTTACTTAGGATTATTGTATGTAGTGCAAAGACATTTTGCAACCTGAACTTTAAAATAAGTACCTTCTCAGAAGGTTTCTCCAGGATTTTTTTCTTTTTAGTTTGTATTTTTTTTTTTTATAAGAAAAGTAAATATTTTAAGTGGATTTTGCTTATAAAGTATGCTCATTTCCTTAATATTTCTCTCTTGGAAATAAAATATTGAAATTGTGAAATTTCGTGAAGTACATGGCTAGAATCTGATAATTATTCAAACCAGCTGCCTAGTTGTGATGTGTAGCAATATTTATCGCTGTGATTCACTATCATGTCAGGAAAAAAAAAAGGACAAGTGAAAATGCTATGAATAAATAAAATCTGAAAACTACTTAATTATAGTGGGTGGACAGTGGGGATCTGTTTTAAAACTCCAAAATATATTTAATTTTTTATTAAAATAAGTGACTCAGTTTCTGTTACATCTAAAAATTATAATTATAAGCTATCCAAAATCAAGTACAAGAATAGAACATTTTCCCATGTATTTATACACAAGAACTTTCCTTCTGTAAGTACAAGAAAGGGATGCGTATCGTGTCTCTGTTTTCCTGCAAAATTTCTGCAGATCTCCAATTATACACATCTGCCTGCAAGCAGGTGGCTGTATTCAAGGGGAAAAAGATACCTATTTCAGCCATACTTCATACATTTCATGTCCATTCTATTTCTTTTCTGAAGTAATATACAAAATCACTCTGTGTAATACCAGCACCAAGAGCCACAGTTTGACCAGGCATTGATTACTTGCAAAGATTTTTCATCATCTGTAGTTAAGCCTCATTTCTGAGTTAGTATATTGAACTTTGTAGCTAAAATCTTTCTCCTTTCTAGCCTCATTCCAGCAGCAAATGTCCTCAGAAGGGAAGAATGTTACAAGTCGCATCAAAAGTTTAACAAATGATTCATTACTGTACGAAAAATAGCGTGATTTAAGTTTGCCAGTGAAGTTCATTGTATTCACAGAATACAATGCAAAAATATTCTTCAGTGCAAACCAAATCCTTTTTTGATAACAGTCCATTGCAAGTTCTTGGACATCACTAAAGCTAATTAAAAGCAGGTGAATTCTTCTCATGTAGTATACCAGCCAACTGAATGAAATGTAGATAACTTGTAGTAATTCTTGGAGAACATTTTTTTTCCCCCCATGGACCTTACTGGAATGCTACGATTCTCTAAAGCTCTGATTCTGAACAGACAAAGAATCGTATTTAACAATAATACCCATATTACTTTGTTTATAAAACCTGAATTTTAGTTGGCACTGTAGAGAAGGCCCTGAAGGAAACTTAATTTTTGAAACCTGATCTCTGTGTGAAAGTCGCTGTGAAAGTCTGGTATAAAGATTTGAAAGGTTTCATTTAGGAACTTAAATCTACAAAGTTAAGTTCTATGATTTATATTTTAGTTTAGTTTAGTGTAGTTTTTTTTTTTTTTTTTTAATTGTGGTGTCTCTAATGTTTTGCAAGACTCGGTTTATCTTTCAGAAAAGTAAAAGTGACTAAATGAGAGTTATATTGCAGAACATGAGCTGGATTTACTGTGTTCTGTTTATGAACTAAATGTTTGGCTCAGTCTTGGGATTTATTACTAGTTAGATAGTTATCTTTAGTTTCTAAGAGTTTGTTTTATGTGGGTTAATGATAATGGTTTCTGTCTACATGCTTAGTGCCATACAGAAGGAGATCCAGAGGCAGAGAGTGGGAGACCACGTGCTGCTGAGTTGTGATGCATTTTCCTGGGGTTGCCAGGAAAGTTCAGGCTGCCTTCTTTTTCTGGGCAGAATAAATAGAAGGTTGGAAAAACAAATTGGCACTGTGAAATTTTTTCAAAAACAAAACTACTTGTATCTAAGCCAGATGAGAGTTCTGAAGTACATGTATCTTTACAAATCAGGCTATGCAGAACAGTCCAAATATAACTTATATCTAATGTCATTGTAATAGACCTCAAAGTTGGTCTTTCTGTAACACAGCATGTAACCAAATGACCCAACATGAAATGGAATTTATGATGTTAGTCTTTCTAAGCCCAGCCAATTTTGATTTTGGGACTTCATTTTTTCTTAACACAAGTTCTGTGCAGTCTCAGAAGGTTAATAAAAGAACAGAATAAAATAATAGAACACTTCATACATCTACATTTCCTAGTTTAGATATTCAGAACTTTAAAAAATATTCTAGTTTAGCCACCAGCTGAGCCCCTTATAGGTTCAGAAAATCTGATGAGGCAAATTGAAACAGTTTGCGGTCTTTCATCAGGTCACTGATTAAATTTATTGCTAAGATGTTAGTGAAGAGTTGATAGAGAAATATTTAATGACATACACAGGATTTTTAAACTGAGAATTTGAAGGAAGATCTTGTGAAAAGTGAAGTTTCTTAGTTGATGGCAATAGCTCTATGAATGTTGGTGCATATATAATATGTATATTAAATATCCAGTGATCCAATGTATATTATATATATATATATATATATATATATAATTTCTGTCACAAACATAGGCTTCTATGTGCTTTCAGATGCCTGGGTGTATTGATCATGATTGATCCCAAATTGCCACTTGCAGGTTATACTGACTGGTTCTGGGTGAGAAGTGATGCTGCTGCACAAGTGTATTCTGTAGCAACATAGTGTAATAGCATACAGATCTGAGCTGCTCAGTTCTCTGACAGTGGGCCAACAAATGCCTTCAAAATATTTACACATGTTTATTGATTAATTTTAGCAATAACTTGCAAAAATCTCCAGATCTTATAATAGCATTAAAGGTTTTTAATTGTCTTATAAAGTAATTTTCTGTTTCACTATGTGTCAGTGTTATGTGTTGTCTTCTGCACCTAAACTTGAGATTTTACGTAATAGGTGTATGCTGAGGCAAAGCAGTTACTGTTCATACACAATGGGAAATGTGGAGAGCAAGACAAGTTACAATAGTCTCGTGTAACAGACTGTTGTGAAACTTAACAAAAGTAAAAATTCAATTCACAAAAAAAGGCGTAAAACTACTTTTGAAAAGTGTTTTATTTCTATCTTTATTGCAAGTTATATTTCTTATTTTGAAGTGGAATTTTTGTGAGCTAAAGGAATATAATCTGTTGTAAATGTTACTTTAAAGGACTCATTTCTCAAGCAGTTGGAATGAGACTTTTTTACAGAGACAAACATTCTGCACATTGCATAATCACTAGATCTGTTTAAAAAACCAATTTCTTGAGCTTGTAAGACAAGTTGCATTTCTTTTGTATGTTGGAAGGTTTTTAAGTTGTAGCTTCTTCAGAGTGAGTGCATGTTCATATTCTATTGCCTCTGAAACAGCTGGGAAAGTACACTGTTGAAAAATCACTAAACCAGAAAGACCTGCTTGTGACATCCACGAAAGTTTAACATGAAGAGGAAGAATAGTCAACTTTTTTAATAGCTTGCATGCAGGACCAGTTTGCGTGTGTACTTGGAGGTGGTCACTGATAGGCCAGACATGGCTTTATGACTGAATTTCTACTATGCAGAGGTTGCAACAGGAAAACGTTATTGGACTAGTCTGTTTTGGGGGTAAAGGGGTGGGCTTTTTGTTTGTCACCACTGTAGAAAGTTGAATGTTTTGTATCTATCAGCCATCATTCTTCTGTACATCCCTGCTATAGCAGCCACTGTAAAGTGACTGTATTGTCCTCTAATCCACTGGAATAGTTTTTAACATGCCCTTTGTTTTATCAGCATTTTCGCTGACTGGGAAGCCTAACAAGTACCTTTACCTGTGGTAATTTGGAATCTGCTAGTGCAGTCTGGGCATTTATTATATTACAATTTTCAAGTTGAAGCCAAAATTCATTTGTTGACATAATTCTTGAATGTGCTTTTATTTAATAAAGAAGAAACTATATACTGAGATTAAATTGTAATCTTTATTTACTGTGATGATTAGAAAATGCAAATGAAGCAGAGAATTTGGTGATTAGTATTTTACAGAGGAGTAATTTACTATAATTACATGTTTTTAACCAGTGGGATTATCATGTTCTGTTAACCAGATTCTTTCCTGACTTCTTGTAGGATTCTGAGTAACAACAAGATCTTATGGTTGAAGAATGGCTCTTTCTTTGGACTGAGATCCCTGGAGAGACTGTGAGTAACTGATCAGCCTTGTTCCACCTTCAATTAAAAAGTCTGTGTATTTAAAATATAAAACCAAACATCAGATAATGAAGTTGAGATGTTCTGAACTGTATCGCATAGTAGAGTTTCTGGGCAGTCATCAAGTTAAGAAACAGCATGAAAATGAGTGAACGGGGATGGATGTGGAAAATACAGGAAAGCACTGCCATCAATTTGGAACTAAAATAAACATCCAGTCAAAGACTTGTACTACACTGTGTACACTATCACAGTGAAGACTGGTATATGTAATGGTAACGCTAATATACCTGACATGTAGTTTAGGTTATTTAACTCATTGGTCTCCAATACTTCCATTTTAATACTATTCTGATTTTAATTCTATTCTATATTTTAATTATATACTAAAGAAATTGGACAGCATTTATCACTGTAGCAGACAATGACATTGTTAAAGCTCCATGGCCAATATTTGAAGTGGGGGAGTTCAGGAGCATCTAATGCATTAGAGGAGGAAATATTTGCAAAGTTCAATAGAATAAATAGGCAGTATCAGCTATACTGCAATAACACTGCTGTCTGCATATATAGGTCACTTATTTGAGAATAATCATATGAGCAAGTCTAAAAGGCTGTTTTTTGTATCTATATAAAACTTATTTTGCCAGTGGATCTGAAATGAGTAATTACATCATTCATATCTTACAATATCTCCTGCAGTTTAAGCTAAATTATGTTTATATTGCTTTGTGATAATGCCTTCAATATGTAGGGCTGTTGCTGTAAAGGAGTTGCTACATTCATGAAGGCATGAAAATATATGAATGCATGAATGTATTCTACATTGAATGAATGTTACCATATGTAAAAAAATGCATATTAAAATCAACTTTAGCTAATATTTTACTATTTATGTGTAAGACATGCTTCTGTTTATGATTGTGTAATAAGGTGGGTAAGTATATGGTACTGAGATATTTGAAAAATATAAATGCAATTTAAAAACAAACAATGGATTTCAAGGTCTGGAACAATCTCTAAGGCACCTTGAAGGGTTAGGATAAAGCTAACTCTGAACAGTTATGAAAAGGAATCCTACTTTTTCTCTGCATTTAGTTAATATTGGCAGCAGTACAAGGTATGGAATGAAGAATAGTTGTGTATTATTTACTTACTGGTTTAATCTTGGGTATAACAATGATATGAGGTTTATAAAGAAGTTTGCAAATATTTTAGACAAAGCAATTTAGCATAGGAGATAGGATTACAAATTTATCACAAGAAGGGAAATTAGTACATTAAATTCTGATGTACTGCATGTAAATCTTCAGTGTTTAGAAATAGAAGGAAACATTTCCTCTGGGTTTCTTTTTAAGATTTAATTTACACTGGGGAACGAGCGCATACTTTAACAACTAGTTGTCTAGTTAGAGAAATTCTTCAGACTGAAAAGATATGGCAAACAGTATTGAGAACAGTGAGAAAACAAAAAAATGCCTCACGGGTGTAGCCTGAGGTATCATCACCATCTAAACCTTCTTAATTTTATTGTTTTGAGTTTTCACAACATTATAGATAAAATGAGTGACTATAATCTGTTCTGCAAGTAATGCTGTTTGGCCATGGCACTAATACAGAATCTGTAAGTGGTCCTTGAAGCAAAGACTAGAATTCAGGCAATGACGGTCTCATCAGATTCAGATGCTCTGTTTCTTGTTGTCTGGTCCCATACACTTATTTTCAATGTATGTGAAGTCTGAGTTTCAGTTGGGGGGGTTTACAACAGCTGGAATTGTCTACCAGGAGGTGAGTGTGAATGAACAACATATGGATGAGTGCACTTAACCCTTGGACAAAGGTTTCCCTAGCTTTGCTCCATCATCATGGAGCATGAAAATTTACCAATAAGAACTTTTGTTTCTTTTCTGAAAGGAAGTGTAGAGAATCCTATAAAGTACAGTAGCAGGAGAATGCAGCTTCCTTTAAGATAACGATAAGTTTACAACATCAGGTGCTTAGCATGCAGGATTACTCATTTAATTTGGCTTTGCACTCCTTGTGGTCCCATTGAGAATGAAAAATTAGTAATGTGTATGCGTTAGAGGCAAGAATCATGTGTGTCTGTAATTCTTTTATGGTTACCATGAGTTCATGAGCCAGAAGAGCGTTAGCTTACATAGAAAGTGAAATCATTCATTGTCAGGCTTGAAAGTTTCAGAGGAGAAGAAAAATTTCAGGTGGAACTGAGTGACTTGTAAATTCTGTCACTTTACTCTCTTGGAATGCTGAAAAGCTCTTTTTTGAGGAAGGAAGCTTGAAGCCGTACTCCAATATGCTAGTGCCACGTTTCTCCTTACTTTGTTTTTCAATGCATGTCACAACAGGAATTAGATTACATATGTGTGAATCCTCCCAAGTTCTAGTGATTTCTCAACAGCACGTTACATTTCTCAACAGCATGTTACATTGGACTCTTCATTAGGGACTGTAGTGATAGGACAAGGGGTAATGGGTTAAAACTTAAACAGGGGAAGTTTAGTTTGGATATAAGGAGGAAATTCTTTCCTGCTAGGGTGGTGAGACACTGGAATAGGTTGCCCAGGGAGGTTGTGAATGCTCCATCCCTGGCAGTGTTCAAAGCCAGGTTGGACGAGGCCTTGGCTAATACGGTTTAGAGCGAGGTGTCCCTGCCCATGGCAGGGGGGTTGGAACTAGATGAACTTAAGGTCCTTTCCAACCCTAACTATTCTATGATTCTATGATTCTACTTGGAATTTTCTGAAGTGGGTACATGACATTTCTGTTTCTTTCTTTCACAACCAAATATACTTTTTCATTAAGATTATAGTAGCATAATTACTTTTGAGACTGTGTTCCCTGTGGCTGAAACTCTTAAATGAATTCAGAAGCTACTGGGAGGGTAACAGGAAATAAAAATAAACATACACAAACAGACCGTGACTGCATAAGCAGTGTTTCCTTGGGAAATCAGGATGGAAGAGCATTAAGCAAGATTACACATATTTTTCACAGTTGACCCAGAAGGAAAGCATGCAAGACACTAATGATTTGACAGTGACTGTTTTACAGAAAATTGCTGTTATGTTTTCACAGTATTCCTAGACATGTTTCTATTTGCAGTATTCCTAGACATGTTTCTAGATAAAGGAAAATAATACTGAAGTGTTTGTAAGAATTTAGCATAGAATGTTTTTTTAATTTTTTTTAGCTGTATAAATTAGTCTTACTTAATCACCTGTCACTTAAATTGTGTGTACTTTTATTAAATGTTGCTGTATTGTAAAGTTCCCAAATGTGTGGCAGTGCCATGCAGTCACATGTTGTCCTCAGTTATTATTAGATAAGATTGCATAAAAGATACTTTCAGTAGGTTTTAGTATGACATTCTGCAACTATATATTGTGCTGTGCAATTGAAGTAATAACACATTAACTTGAGGGAATGAAAGGGCTGGAAAAACAACCACAACAAATTAGGCCATAGAAAAAACATGTTAAACAGCTGGTATAAAAGTATGGTATTTAGATGTTCTTTAGCAAAACTCAAGTGATGAAAGGGTAAAATATAAAGGGTTTACATTTTGATATACCAATGTGCTTCTTTAAACATACAATTTGCATTCTCTAAATTGCCAGTCACTTAGTTTCTTTCCTGCCTATATTTTTGAAATGTGCCTGCACACACATGAAGAAACAGAGAAGTTTTTCCTAGGCACTGTGAAGGATTGTAAATATGCTTCAGGGAGTTGTTAAACAATTTTATTTTCAACACATATGTATGCTATCTTTAAAGTTAGGAATATCACAAATTAGATTTAGAATTATGAATTCTTTTTTTATATTGTTGTAAAAATAAAAAAAAATCTAGTTATTATAAACTAAGAACATTTCAGAATGACAGTTAGGATCCAATTGTACAGTTTCCAACTAAGGAGTGTGCCCCAAACATCATGCATTAGCAAAAAATGGATTGGTAATCTTGGAGACCTCAATGACTGTGTTAATTCATTTCAAATGCCGTGTTTAGTAAAAATCTGTGGTGTTACTCAGAGAAAGGGCAATTTTAAAACCTATTTCTTAGAGCTCTTTGATGTGTGAGTAATTACAACATGATTGAAACTCTTCCATTCTATCTAGTTTGGAAAAAATATGGAGAAAGAAAAATCAGTGCAGGCTCCTTTCAAGTATCTGAAGTTTTCCTGACATTTTTTCTTGTATTTAAAATCCCACATGGATTTAGTGAATTCTCTAGACCTAGTTGGTAATGAGGACGAACGAGTTCTTCTTTGAAATTCACCCCAAATGTTCTCAAAGAAAAAGGATACAAATGCTCCAACCAGTATTTTAACTTGTCTAGTAATATGTCCAGGAGTCCTGGGGAGATGTAAACAAATTTTCCTATAATATTTCTTGTTACTCTGAAATCGTTTACAAAAACCTTTTTATGCTTCATTACTATTGAGGATATTCCAGTAGGTGATGATGGGTGGGAATAGTTATGGAAAATGATTTTTCTCTTGGAGCAACACTTTGTGCACATACTCTAAATTAGACTGAAAATTCATATTCTTCTTGATGCTTGTTGAACTTTGAGTTACCCTTTTGGTTTCAGTGCCAGATTAAGAGATTGTTCTTCTAATTACAATGATGTTGGTGTTATCATGAAGCAGGATAGTTCTCTTTGCCACTTGTAGATGCAACTAATGTAGCTCACACGGTTTTGGTCGATGTTAAGTATGATTGGCTGCAATATATTTGTACTAAGGCAATTATAAATATTGAGTTCAAAAAGGAAAGCTCTGAAAATTCACGAATTACTGAAGTTAAGGTCCGTGTTCTTCCAGAGCTACATCTACTGCAAATAACAATTTTGAAGAGTTAAAGCTGCTCAGGAAACAGAGCTTTACAAGTACAGGAAGGGGCAAAAAAGCGCTATGAATATATGTCATGTAGCATACAGATCAGAAAGAGGGAAGAAAATATTTACCC